GTATATAGTACACATAAACAAAAAAAATCACGAATCCTAAAGCAGCAAATTTCTCTCAAGGGCACAGACGACCCCCTTCTATCCCAACAACGGCCCCTCGTCTCCCCAGCGGCCGAGTACAATCCCCTCCCCCCCCGCATGCGTTTCATACAAAGATGCTGCACCCTGTCGGGACATCTCGTACCTTGGCACTTTGGCTATTCATCAACTGTCCATCGTCGTCAATCGTCACTATTCGTCACCTCAGCCAGGGCTCGTTGTTGAAGATTCCCCAACAGGGGGAGGGGTCCTATTTGGCCTCTGATCTATTGAGAGAGGTTGACTTTTCGTGGTTGTTCCTGTTCCTTGTGTGCTACCCACACCTCCCCACCTCGCTCGACAGCAAAGTTATTGGGTAAAAGTAGGAAAATTTCCGGAAAATTTCGGAAAACCGGTAGGAAATTGGGAGAATCTAAAAGATGGTACAGAGAGGGATCGTGTTTTCCTCGCGGTTTTTTCCGGTTTACATGCGAGATATGCTGTTGAAAATTTACTATAGCTACTTCAACTTTAGTGACTATGCTTAAGAATTTATTTCACTCATTGTTAGCTACTTGGATACTTATGGCCTCACGGTCTTAGGCCTCAGACATGATGGTGATCGTCCTCAGACAACGCCGGGGTATATGGCTAGAGAATCGTAATTCGCCGCGCTAGTGGCATGCGACGTTCCCCCCGCCCCCCGCCTAATGAACGATTTTTGGTGGTATTGGTCGAGAATAGACAATGGACCAAAAACAGGCATAAGTGTCTACCATGTCCTTGTCTACATGAAATCCGATGCTTCAGTCGAAAGGTAGTGCAAATTGAGGAAACGTCGCGCCTATTGCCGCGCGCGACGAAGCGGCAGTTTACAATTCTCTTGCCCGTCGTCCGTTGTCTGCGCATTCTATTTTCTTCTTCTATTAGCGGACAGTTTGATGTTTCGTTTTATCCTACCAGTTGATATCAAGCATTCATGCTAGTGCATAACTTGTATTTGGAATCGATAAAAAACTTTGGAAAATTTTTTGGGCTTAAAGTTTCATGGTCATTTTATTCAGTATGGCATGAGGGGGTTGTGAGGGGGGGGGGGGAGGGCGAGTGTCTCCGCTTGAGCGCTTTTTGTAAGTAGCATTGTTTGATAATGGTTTGTGCGTGATAACCGTACCAGGCGGCGGGGTGCCTGTAAAAGAGAAGTGCCCAGCTGATATGAGGTCTCTCTCTGCCACTGAAGACCCAGTGGAAATTTGCAGTCGGGTCCTAACAAACCGATTGGGAACTGCGAGTCTCTATATCAACTTCGCTGGACCCACATATAAACGCCCTAATCGGGTCAAGATATAAAGCTACCATCACTTTCTCTTTATCGTGAGAATTTATGTTCGAGAATTTACAAGCCTGTCACTTGAAATTAGGTCGTAGCCTGCGTCGTCTGGATAATCATTTACGGCCTGCTGTGATCTTATGAAGTCATACGGCTTTCAGCGGCATGATGAAGTGTTCATCTCGCCCTTGGAGGTCGTTCCCTACCACTGTAATAAAGCTCATTCCCATAGCTTCGTGACATTTCTTGGCAATATTTAGATGCTTTTGGGCAGAGCGTGTCCCCTTCTAGCTGTCTGCGTTGGCCTGGGTTCAACTTTGGCGGCGAGCGTACGCCAGCGTCTAACTGCGTCCACCTTGCGCTTCGAAGCGTCCTTGGCAGCTCAGCGTAGTGGGGGAAGGCATAAATAAAGTATTGTCCTCGCGTCTGCCAGCGTCTTCCGACGTGCAACAGCGTCTACCAGCGTCCGGGAGAGGAAAGCGCGACAGGAGGGCAGATCTGATACCCTCCTATCGCGCCATACTCTCCACCAGCAGTCTGCCACCCTCCTATCTTAACATACTTTACCAACTCTCTGCTACTCTCCTATCGCGCCATACCCTCCTCTCCTGGACGCCGGTGGACGCTAGTGGACGCTGGCACACGCTGGTAGACGCTAGATGTATACCTATACTTCCTAGAGCCTCTAGGCGCTGGTGGGCGCTGCGCCGGCGAATGCTGGGGGACGCTGGTGCACGCTGGCAGACGCTAGATCGATATCTATAATTCTCAATCGCTGACGCTGCCGGACGCTCGAAACGCTAGTGGACGCTGCCGCGAGATATGAACGCTGCCTCACATGGTTTCCCAGAGGACCATGCACAAAAATTCAGGATGTTGCGTAATGATCAGCACTCTCCTATGTGCAGCTCTTCACATGGTGCACACTCACTCGTGAATTACCAGTACAGCAACGTAGGAGGATACTTCCCTTCTTGTGTACTTTCCCATATTTCCGTACGCGTGGATTATACAGTTTTCTATGACAATTTTAGAACAGTCAGAGGCAAGGCGGGGAGGAAGGAGGAGGCCACTGCCTCAACTTGATTCAAATGTATCAGCTCCTCTACGTAGCCTTGCTTTCTCGAGGGGATGTTCTGAAACATTACTCCAGTAAATTGCATACTATACACTATGTTACGTTTTTTGTGCTATAATTCGTACCTGCTTCCTTTATGTGTGTAAACATACAAGGGTGGAATACGTCATAGTTACCGCACTGGTGATCCAACAAGTCTTACACTTTCTGCTACACTTGCAACCGTTATCATTTGAAAAATCCATTGAGCAAAAAGTGACCAGTCTGATCACATTATGAGGCCCTGTATGGGGCCTCGGATGAGTAGTTCGGAGCACATATTTCAGCATTGTTCGATCAAGGTTCCGAACGCATAAGGTGGCCAAATCCAGAGTTTCAAAAGAGGGGTCTTCCCGAGTACTGACGTAGCTTCTGCCAGGGACATGGCTCTCACTGCATGTCTTGAAGGAACGGCTAACCTTCCTCCCGTTTTTGACTTGCATAACCGCTTCATCATTGCCCTCCATCGTTTAGTAAGAGGTATAACCCTTTATAACGCTCTTGAACCCATTGTATGAATGCATATACGTAAGAAATGTGATACATGTACAATAAAACGCAAGAAACATAAAAGAAACCAAGAACCAAATGCGTGGGACGTATCAAATTAACACGCAAACACGTATGAGATGCAGTAACAGTAGTACCAAACAAAATAAATACAAAACGAAAGTTTGGTACACAGTTCATAATGAAGGATCTCAACCTTTCCGTTGGCTATTTCTTTATGATGAATCCAAGTGCACTGCGCGTAGGCGTAGAAGAGATTGCACGACCCTGAAGCTGAACGGTTTGAAATTCCATTGATTGGTTTGAATTTTTGATCACATTGCGGCGGCAGTTTTCGAGAAAACATTGATCTGTTAAACACGGACGCTGCTAGCTGTGGTGCATCTTCGGTAGCATGCCATAACATCGCTAGGCAGATATCCAGCTGTTCGAATCGTAGCGCCTCTAAACACCGTCGCACTGACGAGATCTGCCACAGCGTGGGTTCGGTAATTCTCTAATAACTCTACCTAAAAAGCAATTGCGGCGCAGACATGCACCGCAACGCCAATATCCCAATACCATACTATACTGGGGTCGATGCTTATAACTTCCTCTGAAGGGAGATTCTCCCAGTAAATCTCCGTGTCTGCCGTTATCTCTATCAATGCCCATCGTCCTCTCTGCTTCAGCCTCTCTGCATCTCTGCTCCCCCAGTCACCCGGAATCTCCCCCAACGGCATGTGTTGGGGAAGAGGGAAGCATATCGATTATACTCTGCGCTGCACTATATTCGCACACAGCATGCGCCAAAAGAGTATGGATCAGAGCGCGAAGAAAGCCAGACGAGAACGAGAGTCATCAGCCGATTGGGAGGGCAGGAGGAGGATTGCTAGCGATATCTCCCCTCGAGGAAAGATATGAATATCTCGCCCCAGATCGGCCATCTCGCGCGACGCGATGTTGCGCAGAGCTGCGCGGACATCAATGCCCCTGCGCAAATTGAGTGCGCGTGCGTTTAACGGCGTTATTTTTAACACATGGAAATTTGGAAATGTAATTGACTGAGATAGTTGTACTTGGTGGTCTTAGATTGTGAAACTGGGTGATATCTGCGCGGGTTCAGGGTTACAACTGATATAAGATGAGGAGAACTAGCGTCTCTAATCTTCGGGTGAGGTCAAACATCTAATAGCCCACAACTCACTTCTTTATATCCGGGAGTCACAGAATCTATGGAAGATAAGCCTTTTAGGATGTGGTGACATAGCGGAACAAAACCTGGATGTGAAATCGCATCGGTGCGGTAGACTTCTTCCGCGCGTCGGTGTGGGATAACTTGCGCTGGACCTATCCAACGAAGCAGCTGGTCCTCATTTAGCATCACTTGATCTTTGGCAAGATGGGGGTGAAGCTAGGCACCCATTCAAATACATCCATGATTCCGAATGGCGCAACATGCACGGGGCGTCCCCTAGTACTTGAAGAGCATTGAGGAAACGGAGGGAAGCATATCACCTCTTATGACAGTTACTCTATCGAACTAGACCGCTTGGATGTTGTCGCCGAAGTATGCAGAGAATCTCAGAAATCTCTGTGCTACCGAGTCTATCCAGCTCTGTACGATGGATGTCTTCAGTGTTGTATAGTATCTGGGTCACATCTTGCTGTATCAGTCAGTCTCCCTTCTAGCTCGAGTTCTGTTCTTCTAGAACTACTATATGAGACATCATCTAAAGAATTCCACTTCTCCTCTGGATCTATTCTACACACCATGGGCGTCAGCCTGTCGAAATCTCGTGCCGCTCCGAAAATGCTACTACCCTGTCCTTATTTTCGTTCAAGAGACGTTTATAGATAATAAATAAATAAATAGTTCTTTATCCACGACTAAATTACAAGTTACGACAAGATGACGCAAAACATTTGTCGTCAGCAAAAACCCATTGTTTTCCCCGATGCAGAATTAAGAAAGCTGAGCGCTCAAAGATGTGCTCACGCCGTGGCTCGTGTTATTCTGCCATTCATGTGGATATGCCCGGTCGGTCGTCAGACATTGATTCTAACACCGGACAGTACGCCGCCGATTGGTTGCAGTGCCTTAAAGGAGGAAATTCCTGAGCAAAGAAAGCAAGTTAAAGAAGTGTTGGCGGAGTGAGGAGAACTTTGGTTAATAAAGGTGAAGAAACTAAAGAACTATCAAATCCCTCCACGTTTCCCCTCCCCCACCTCCTCCTCAGCCGAAGGGCGTTAGGGAGTTTCCCTCACAGAAGCGGTAAGAGGCTGTGACTTCAATGATTCTCTGAGAGACTGACTCACGAACAAAGCTTACTAAGAATTTGGAGCACGGTGTGAGTAGGTTGTAGGTTACCTCGAAGGACAGCAACCCTATGGAGTCGTCCGTCTACCAGGATATTTCAAGAAAATGGCGAATACGATACATAGCAGCTATGTAAATCTTTTTGCTGACATTTTCCTTATTGCCTGGGTAGAATCTTTTGAAATAGTCCCAACAAAGCTGCACCATCGCAGCTCAGCAACCAGGTCAACAATTTCATTTCCACCAAAAATCACGAAAGGGGGGGGGCTGCTGTAGCAAAAAACGTATGTGGGCGGGTAGAAATTGGATGTGGTCCGTGGAAGAGAAGAGAACACTTCGGAGTGGAATACAAACAAGTTTTTTGAAGAAAATGGGGGTCATCCGGGAAATGTGGATTTGAATGCGCAGGAATCCTTTTTAGCGCATCACCGTCCAGAATACCTTCAAACGCTCATGGATATTTTTCTCCTTCGACTGAGAAGCCCAGCAGTGCATCTTGTCTTGGAATGCTTGACCTACCTTATTAATAATTAGAAGACCACCATTTCGGAGAAGGCGAACGGCGTGCTCATAGTCGTCCAGATAGCTTTCACGTTCAAAATCGTCCTGAAATTTGAAAAGAAAAAGTTTTGGCTGCGTTCCAAGTGATATCTGTTTTGTTACGTACCAGAAAAATGAAGTCGAAGGTGTTGGGTTCGTTGGCTGCTAAATTTGACAGGGAACGGTCGATTGACTCTGATGATCGCACATGAATTCGGGACATTTGAGTGTGAGGCATCTAAATGAACGAGCAACAGTGTAAAATTGTAGGGAAACATGAGCATGTTTTGCATTAGGAATTTTCTTAAGGAAGTAGTTTTCTGAAAGGAACAAAGCTGCGGAAAATCGTGTAGGGGCAAGAAACGTCGCCACAAGTTGCTTGGTCCCTGTATCCGCCTACATATGCCAACCCAGACCTTCCAGTCTCCCATAGTCACACACTTGGCAGCGGTTCAGTCTATTAGTTCCTGGATGAATAACATGAGGATCTGCTCGCCTCTGTAGTCCATTTTATAAGTCATATTACAAGTCATATTTTACAAGCCATTTTACAAGCTATAACAATATGACTTGGTTGACCCATAAATAATGACGCTTTTTCTCCTTTGCCATTGAGTTTCACAGTGTTTTGCAGAGATTTCCTTGCTATTGCAGAGATTTCCTTGCTCTGAGGTAGTCCTTTACGTTTATCTGAGAATTCTGTCTTCACTACTTGTCAAATGTGCAAACTGGAGCGCGTCAGGTCGACGAAAATTTTTGACAGCCTGTCCTTTCTGCATCTGATTAAAACGTTAAAATCGTACAGACTCATTTGTTAAGCATATGGCCGTGAGCTATGTCTCTTAGAAATCTCTGCTTATAAAGGCTCGAGAGCTTCAAAAATTCCAATTTCTACCTCACAGGCAAGCATCGAGTCTAATGCCCTATTGAGTCCGACTGAGAGCTTACTGAATCACCTTATTCATGGAGATTATGCGAAAGACTGGTGAAATGTAGATGTCGTGGAAGGCTTTCACGTTCTCATTGAACATCAGCTTCACTTGACGGGAGAGGTAGAAAGTTGGCGGATGAGTTCTGCAGGCAGTCGATCCTCAAGAGAGCGCCCCGTGTGGTGCACATTTACAAGGTCCGAATTCCCATTTCCGAATCAGTTTGAAGCCGTTCTGAGAAGCACTATTCCTCGATCGTATACATCACAGGTTTTGAGCTGCTTTGATTAGATGGTCAAGATTCGGAGCAAAACGAAGTGTCGAAAACTGCCTTTTGTGCCGCAGGACACTCCTTTGCAATGAAATAAAAAATCACAAAAATTAACAAAAGAAAGGCAATATTGCCTTGTAGAGTAAGGATTTATCTATCTGATCCCACCAAGTAGCATAGAACACCTTGGAAACTATTTTGTTTTCATACAAAAATTTATGAAAAAAAAACGCCATTACCTATAGGCCAATTCAATACACCCACATGTCTCAAGAATTGCGAGTAACAACAGTGCGCGTAGCGCACCCAACAAAATAGTCGTTCAGATGACAATTCCGTCTTTTCGAAGAAGGCCTCTCCATGCTTGGAGCCGCTCCTACATATGGGATCACCTGACAGGAAGAGGCCCCTATTTTGTACGTCCCATCCCCTCCCAAAAGGTGGTTTGATACGCCCTCCCCCCTCCCTCCTAGTTCGCTAGTTCCCTGCTCCAGTCGAGCTGTCGCGGGGGGGAGGGATGCAGCAGATGTGAAACAGGAAAAACCACGAAAAGTCAACA